GTTCTAGTTCAGAAATTGATAGTTGCGGCCAGTCCCAAATGCTCTCTTGATAGTTTAGAAAGCTTGGTAGTTCTGCTGTTGGAGGAGGAGGGAAAAGTGCTTTTCTAAAGGCCTTGCACTTTCCTTTGAATGTTTTCTCTAGTATCTCTCCTTGGATAGGTGGAATCTTTTCGACCTTTTGATCCTTTGTGTATGCCATAGCTTTGTAGATAGACTGTGGGGTTTCTTGTTCTAGAAAGCTATTCCAATGTCTCTTCTTGGCATCCTTGATTGCTCTTGCGTAGGTGTTCCGCGCTATTAAGAAGTCTTTCTTGAATAGATATGCCTCTTGGATGGACAACTGTTGCAATTGTTGTGTGTAGACTCTTTGGCAGTGAGTAAGCTCTCTTCTTAGCTTAGTAAGCTCCTGGTTCCACCAGGGTTTTGGTTTAGGACCTAGTTTGACTTTTGGGATTGCTTTGTCAGCTGCTAGTTGGATGACTTGCGTAATTGCTTCCCCTATCTCCTCTAGTTTGCTTTGAAGCACCTGGTCCTCTTCTAGAATTAGATTCTTGCAATCTTGTTTCCTAGGGTCGTTTATCTCGCTTATGTGCTGTAGGGTGATGTTGTTTTGAATAGCCTCGTTTAGGGTTTTTTGAAATAGTAGCCAATCTGCCTTTTTTGTATCAAACTTGCGTTGGTTTGTTGGATTGTCTACTTGGTCGGTGTCTGATCGAATTGAGAAGAGTAGGCCGTAGTGGTCAGATCCAGTCTCTGTAGTGACTTGCCAGTCAATAGCTTTGTCAGCTAGGTCTGGGGTAACTAGGGATAGGTCTAAAACTGATTCTCTTGATAGGTGTGGCCTAAAGAAAGTGCCCGTTCCTGGTGTGTTTAGAAGGCTAAGGTTTTGGCTTTCTATCCATTCTACAAATGGGGGTGCTCCTGGGCTCGTCGATGTGCATAGTGGGTCCCACCACGGGTGGTGCTCATTTGCGTCTAGGAGTAGAATAGATGACTCTGGTAGTCTTGTGTTTGTGTTTAGAAGAACTCTTGGGATAGTCTTTATATCTCCTATACCTCTCTCGTTGTATAGGTTGAAGATATTAAACTTATGGTTTCCTTTCTGTACTACTAGTGCTATAGCGTCTGGATCTGATGTGAAACCTTCTAGTAGGTAGGTTTCTGCTAATAGCGTTCTAGAGATATAGAATAGCACTCTAGGGCGGAGTTTTGGTTCGGATTGTGGGAGAATTTGGAGGTATGCTGCGTGGCTAGTGGACCTAGTATCAGCGTAGTCGTTGTTTCTTGTTGGTGTGAGCCAAGGCTCTTGGACTGCAATTATATCAACCCTTAGTTCGACAGCTAGTTGAAGAGTAGACTCTGTAGCCTGGATACTCTTATTCAGATTCGCTTGGAGAATCTTAATGCTGTCTAACATTCTGTTGTATATTGGTTCTCCTTGTTTGTTATAGCTGCGAGGACTTCACAGTCTCTGCTATTAGCAAAGTGAGGTTCTTTGCAGTTTGAGCATTTTGGGAGTGTATGGATACAAGGCTTCCCACTTGTCGTGCAGGTGGAGCATTTATGCTGCGATGTAGGGTGGGTCCCCGCACATAGCTGGCATGCTGTTTGGTTCCGGCATTTAAGCTTTGTATGGCCAAAGCCTTGGCAGTTGTCGCATTGGGTAGTAGCTGGAATACTTCTATACTTTTCAGTACGGAGGCTCTCTCCAAGGATAATGATCCTCGCTCCTAGTTTCTTTGCTTCGGCTTCTGTTTTAAAAGCGATGACAATAGAGCTGTTTTGTTTGTTCTTCCAGTCTTTTGTAAGCCAGTAGGAGTTACCAACTATTTGTAGTCCTTTGTTGTATGTAGGGATTTCAGTTTGAAGGATTTCTAGCGTGTCTGCTCCTTCAAAGGTTGTAGGGACGTTGTGGACTATGACTTTTGTCCAAGATTCTAGTGGTTGAGCGTGTTTGATGTTAAAGAGGTCCATCCAGATATTGGATTGCTGGAGAAGGAATTCTCCAGAGTATCCGCTTGTAGTAGTAAGTATGAGATTGTTTCTCTTACTAAGAGCTGCTAGTTGGATAACAGGTCCTGCAATGCCAGCTTTTTGGAATGCCTCGTTGATTTTGTTTCGTGCTTGGAGCGGGTTGATGGTTTGGTTTTCCTCTAGTGTTGCAACTATTTGATAGTGCGTAATTAGTTTCTTAGGCGTTGGCTTTTTCTTTGGGGCTACAGTCGTCCAAGTGGCGTTCTTTGATGGTTGAGCTGCAATTTTTGCGTATGATTGGGGAGCATTTGTGTTTGTTGTCGTTGTTGCTACTGCTACTGTTTGGTTGTTTTGACCAGCTACTGTGGCTGTTGCCTTCTTTAATGTCTTTGCTGCTTTTTCTGAAGCGTTTGCTAGAGTAGCTGAGTGGAAGGCGAGCTTGGCAGATAGTTTGTCCGAGATCTGGTTTGTAACTCTCCCTTTTTCCGTGTAGTCTCTAAATACGTCTAGTAGTTCGAGTAGCTTGTTTTGCTCTTCATATGAGTTGGT